AGACATTATTTCTAATTAAAAAGTAAGCCGTAAATTGTGGGCTTTATTGCCAGGCTGAGGCTGTAAATAAAATTCAAGGGAGGGTGGAAACAGATTGCAGCCCCTGTCCACAATTTAGAGCCACCGTAAAAAGGACAGACGGGCGTGATGGCACCTTTGGGATCTTTGCGCGCAGACCAGCGGGGCTGACGGCGGGGAGGTGCCCTGCTTCATCCCAGATAAACAGATGCAAATCAATGATTTCTCCGGTAGGGATTTTTTTTTTTTTAAGACTGCCGTTTCGCCTCGAAGGGGCCGAGGAGCAGGACATGCATATGGAGACCAAATATGCAAATTCAATTGCCACAAACCACGGGGGAATATGTAAGGGGAACGGCGGTGGATGCACTTGAAAATGATGTACAATCATGAGGCCATGAAAGCGCACCATCACATGACTGAGTTGGCTAGTAGGCTGGCAGTGACAACAAGCGCGTATTATCTATCTGTGTCTCCATTTTCCTCTTTTAAACAACCATTTTGCTGCCAGATTTGCAGTCGTCGGACATTGTTTTATTGATAAAAAGGCCTTCAGCACACCCACACTGTAGCCAAAGCTGTGACGTTGGAGAGGCACACACACGCAGCACACTCTCAGTCATAGCAGAGGACACTTCACAACTTCCCGTTTGACAACTTCTGATTACCTCGGCGTGTACACTGATTGTCAGGCGGCGAACTCCCCCGACAGCCAGCTGCCGAGTGGCAGAGCGACGAGGAGGTTTTTGACGTTCACAGAGGGATGTCTGATTTTGCAGGTACCAGACACAGGGATGGAGGAAATGAAGGGAGGAGGATGGAGGGAGAGGGAGGGAGGGGGAGGTGGAGGGTAAGAAGATGAAGGAACGACGTGTGATGGGGCTCCACGGCCTCCGCTGCCGACGGAAGGAAAGCATGTGCAATCATTGTTCGTCCGTCTCGGTTTCCTCTCCTGGGCCGATTTTCTTTTGTTTTTTTTCTCCAGACCTGCCAGAACGGGAGCAGCTCCAACAACACACGGGGCTGTCTGACAGCTGGGAAATCATATTTGGTTAGCCAATGGCCAGACAGGTTCTTTGCCAAAGTGGCCATCGTCTCTAGGTGTGACACAGAAAGAGAATCACCGTCGTTGAGGGGGGGGGGGACTAATGAGTGAGCTAAAGAGGACAAGATGGAGTGATCTTCTATAAAAAGACGGGCAGTAATCTCTCCGTCTCTTCCCGCTCCTCTACCACTAATGTCCTATGAAATCCAGGCTCCTCCGTAAATCCCGCCGCCTCTGCACATCTAACGGAGCTGATTAGAACCGCACACCTTGCTGCAGCTGGAGCTGTGGACCGGGTGCAGGCCGAGTTCAACGGAGGCTCTGTGTTACAAAAACCAAAAGAGAAAAAAAAAAGCCCTTCGACTTAGCGCGCATCTCTCTGGACTAGACGCTTTTGAATCGCTCCCACTGAATCAGCATGTGACTGCAAATGCTGACTTCAGTGTGCACTTACCATATCTCTATCCCAATGCCTCGGAGCTCAAATTACATCGGTGTCTTTCAAATTAGGGCCTTTGCTGCTTTTGGGATTCTTCTGTCATGTCAGATGATATCAGCGCAGCCCCAGAGGTGCAGGCAGAGTTTGAATCTAATTGTCAACAGCAGAGCGTCCTGTTCGTTTATATTAGCATAAATGGTCACGGTGAGGGGGGCTAGGCGGGGGGGGGCAGGAAGACCCAGTGGAGAGAAGGAAGGAGGGGAGGCCGCCAAGCTGCTGCGCGAGTTTCGCTGTCAAGGGTGTTGTTTTATTAAGATACCCAAACTGTCAGGGCAGGTATCAGGAGAGCAGCCGTGCACATGACAAGATACTTGCACCAACATCCCAGTAACCTCTCCCCATACCAAGATAGCTCAGTCCAGATGCACCGTTCTCTCCGTCACACTCAGGCACACTCGCGCCATTGTCGGAAGGAACTCACCTCTACCAATCACGGCCGCGAGAAGGTTCCCCTGCAGCGGCGCTTTTGGACTGAGTTGTGAGAAGCAATAACAATGTGTGTGAGAGATACAACTAGAGGAAAGGCCCGACCTGAGGGGTTATTAAAGTGTGTTTTTTTCAGAGATCACTCCACTAGACAAAAGGTTTTCGAATAGTGAAACATAGACAGAGGGAGCTTAGCTTAACAGACTCTTGGCAAAAACAAGTGGTCAACATATCCGCCTTTCACCTTCGAAATTAACTGGAGCCGAACAATTAATCATTTACAGTTTTGTAAATGAGTGAAAACCCTCTTAGCCCTGTGTTTGACAAACCCTGAGTGAGATGTGCAATTCTATTTAAATATGCATGGACGCATGCAGAGACCACAGTTGAAAATATATATATATATATAAATATTTCGCACGATATAGTTCAAGCAAGCATTAAAGGACCACTAAAGACATGAATATTGTATACAAAGAGGTGGAAGAGTGGACGAGCACACGGACAAGTCTCAGCTAACGCCACAGACATGCATGCACATTTAATCTATGGATACACAAACCCGCTGACATGCAAAAATACATCAAGAACGAGATATAAAAATTCTGTAATATATCTTATCGTGAACTCATTAAGGTTATGGCCGACTAACGTACAGATCAGAACAATAATTCAGACAAAAGCAAAAAATGTGTGGCGCACTGTTGCCTGAGTCTACCGTATCATCATTTTAACCCTCAGTTTAAAGTATATGATCCAAAAGTGGACTGAGAGACATTTTCATGCAGCTGCACCAAATATATTTCCAGCAGTTGTCAAGACAACAGCAATTTGCACTGGAGGGTCAACAAATGCATCGGTATCAGCCGTGTGCTACATCAAGCAAGGTGTGCCTTTTAAAGAATTCAGCCACTTAGAGGGGTTCGGTGCTCTGTCCAATACCCTTGAGCCGGGCTGCTCCGGAGCCGACCGTTGTTGCCCGAGTAACAGGACAAAAACAACAAAGACGTGCAAAGTCAACTACCGCTGGATGGGATTCAAATTCAGGAGCACTGCTGACAAAAGGATTTCGCTCCCTTCAATTCAAATGACCTGTTTTGCATCATTTTGAGAAGTCCGGGCTCGATGGCGCAAACTGCGGGGCTTAAGATAACAGAACCAAAACTTGGTGGAGGCCTAATGTCTTCACAAGCCATTATGGTCAAGCTAACTTGAATAGATGAGGCTTTGGACAACCATGATGGGTATGCAAAGCGTTGTAGGAGGTTCATTCCCTCTTAAAAGGGTTGAAAAGAAGTCAGTGTATATTTATAACAACGCTTTGTTTGAATAACATCATTCACATCTTAATTCCAGAAAGAAATCTTAACGCTTAGCCCCGTGATCTGCAGAATCATTACGAAATAGTGTGCTTGTAACTGAAGGATTTTATTCCTCACTTAGCCCGAAACGGATGCCCCTGAAGTAGATTAGTCTTAATCCAAATTGAACACAAATTAGACAAAACAACGTGCGTCAGATGAAGGTTGTTATTTCATGCTGGAGTGCATTAGGTAATATGTCATCAAAGCGATCCGAGGCTTTTTATTCATTTGACATCTTTCAGCACTAATACAGTATCGGATTTCTAAGAAGCAGCAGTACACCGTCACACAGCGGGACATCTGGAAGAAAGCAGCGGGTTGCAGGACGGCTCGCTGAAAAGGGTTTCTACACACAACACAGATCAAGGCCATTCTGTGTGTGTGTGTGTGTATGTGTGTGTGTGTGTGCGCGCGCGCGCGTGCCCCCCGAGAGGCCAGAGCCACGCGCGACTATCGCTCTCAATGTTATTCAAACGGCACCATGATTCTATTCTCACCTGGGCACCTTGTGTGAACATTACTCCTGTGTCAGCAGCATTAAAGTGTCCTTACTTTGCAGTCGGATGTGGTTGAACAAACTGGGGAATTAATTCTGAAAATGGGATTATCCTACGTGTGTAGTCGCTGGGATTGAGCTCGAATGTGCTTCCCAATAATTCTCCCCTGAAATCACTGGGGGAATATTAGCTGCTGACGCCGCATCATAAAGGTGATACGACGCATTCTAATGACGTTGACGGGAGCTCGATAAGCAATGTAAACAACGCATGCACAAAAAACATCTGCACTGCCGCAAGGAAGCGGTTAGTAGAAGAGGAAGGGACGCCGTATTGAGTTAGTTGAAGGAGAAACTGGTTAGATGGATGTAGCAGGGTGTTTGTGTGTGTGTGTGTGTGTGTGAGGGAGAGGGAGAGTGGGGGGCGGCAGCAGGCAAAGCCATCATCCATAGAGCCCACAGTACACTCTGGAGGGAAAACAATCTCCCTAATTGAATCCAATCCAGGCTCACCACAGGAGGAGTCGAGGCGAGTGGCTCCATTCAGCGTGGAGGGGTGGGGGGGAGGCGGTGTAAGGGGGCGGAGAGGGCGTGTGTCTGTATTCGTGCGTCGACGGGATGCGTCGGCGAGGGCTTCAGCTAGCATGCCAAGCGAGTGGGGACGAGGGAAGTAAGTGCAAGAAGCAGGGAGTAAACACAGGGTCACGGAAGACAACAACGACAAACAAGGTTTTGGTGCTTGTGGGATGATGGAGGGTTGGGGGGGCGGTGGGGGCATGCAAGTGAGCAGAAGGATGGGAGCCAGCTGCGTTTTTGCATGATTATTACACCGAAAACCTCATTTGCATCAGGGAATGAAATCAACACGCCCGGCAGATCCGTATGGTTACCGACCAAAAAAAAAGCCCTCGGCGCCGGCGGCAGAAATTAAAGGCTTATCAACGATGTCCCGCGGATTTGCATATGAAGATGAGTACCTATCGTGAAGCATTTTCATAAACATCCCATTGCACACAAAGAAACACCCCCGATCGGCGCACATGAATGTTCTTCATCGCTGTGCCGTGTGCTGTAATCTGGGATCGACGCGTAATGAGACATTACAGCTTGGGCGGCTCGAGTCACAAGGGGTGATATACAAGTGTGCAATACCTTGGTGTGAGGCGCAGTGGGGGGGGGGGGCTTGAGTGTTCTCCTCGCCAATCCTGTATGTCACATGACAGATCGAAAAATCAAGGTGTGACCTGTGAGGAAACAAGAGAGGGAGGGAGGGAGCAGGTTAGGAGACTTTGAAGGATAGTCTTAAATTAGTGAAACGTGGCAGCACTGAATCTCACAAAATACACATCGGGGGAAATAATTAAACCGTCAGCAGGAGGAACTTGTCATGTCTGCCAACAGGATTTCAAGTCACGTTTAACAGGCCTGTGCAGAGCCACCATGACATGGATTTACTTTGGAAATAAAAACAAAAGAAGAACGTTTCGAGCTCGTCTCTTCTGGGTCAACCATTATTAAATAGCGTCTTCATACATTTTTCAGCTGTTGTCTGGTTCCCACAGAGGTGATAGAGCCGGACTGCCGCTGTATGAAGCGCTATTCAGGTCACATCAGCTTTTAATGGCTGATTTATTGGGGCCCGACAGGGGCTCGCTGACGGGCTGCGGGACAAAGAGCCTGTTTTAAACTGCATTAACACTCTGCAGTAAATATCCCATACTGCATTAGCATTTTGATGACTGCATCCCGCAGCCACCTTTAGCACCGCCTCGTTGTCCCTCGTACACATTTCCTGTCGCTCCCTTGCTCCGCCTCTTAGCCTTTGCACCAATCCATATTTTTCTCGCTTTCAGCCTTTGCGTCACTCTGGCACTTTTCTCACATACGTTTTTTTCCTCGCTCATCGTGCTCAATATAAACCTTTGGTGCTCTGATACCGGTGTGCGCGGGTCAAGTGGTTAAGTTTAATTACGGCTGAATTAATGAGCTACATGAACGTTTCACAGCAGTGAATTCAAATTGTATCGAGTGAGATTGCAGTGGTACATTATTTCTCCACCTTTAATGCTAAAGAAATGCATTTAAAATAACACATCTCCCCTTTCACGCCCTCATTATTGTGATGCAAACTGTCTGTACATGTTTTCTAATTAAATCTGACCTGCAATTGAGGTTTCAATGGGAGGCTAGTGTCAGGAATAATAAACCCAACAACAATGAATTAATAGATCTGTGTTTACTATGCAAATTAGGTAGATGTCGGATGTAAGATCTCTCAGGGCTGTCTGTCACATGTCCACATGTATTTCAATAACACTGGCATATACTTTAAAGTGACTTGCTTTGTCAATAACAACTCAATCAAAGAGAAACCGGTTAAAAAAAGCATTTCGGCACTTCAATCAGGTTTGATGTGTCTGTCCCAGATCACAAACAAAAATTTAGAGATGCTACAAAAGACAAACCAAATAATATTGCTAAACTTCTAAATATCATCTGGGCACAATGGCCGGCGGATTTTGGCCTGCACACAAGTGCTGGGGCTGTGCTGCATGAAATCTGCTGTTCATTATGTTTGATCATATTTTAGACCTCGGCGGGGGAAGCAGATGCGATAGTTTGACTCCGACTGAACCGCCAGAGCTGGTTTGGTCAACGGAGCATCTGCCGGTCGTTTGGCCGGCTGGAAGTGTTTGGAAAGGAACACAATCACACCGATGGCAACAGCTAGCTGCTGCCCTGAAGAACAGACAGTTCGCAGAAATGTAAAAAACAATTATACGCTGGGCAGTTTAATGGACTGTAGCTGGCATCCTTTTCAGAAATGACCGTAATTGTACACATCTATATTTTTTCCATTAATTACCTTTGATGAAACCCATATTTGCGGATCTTTCTCATACAGAGACACAGTCAGAGTCCAATTCAAACTCGCTCTCTTATTATCATCTGTGTTAAAGGCTGTCGATGAGAACTGAAGCTTCCGACCCGTCTTCAAAGGGTTTTCGGACGAGACAAATGTACACCAGGCAGTTCCCGGCACTCGAGGCGATCTCGTACCATTAATGCGGATGGATTCTCATTCCAAAAATATGCACTTCTATTGAAGTGCGAGGCATGGACGAACCAATGTGACACGGTGTGAGATTGCAGCTTATAAAATGCCTGGTTGCTGGTTAATGAAAGCATAACCGCAGTTACTCAGGAATGTGATGAGTTAGCACTATAAACCCGTATAGATCGCGTTAATGCGGAACTGTGGGAACAATATCTGTAATTATTTTTTAGCGACATTGCAATTAGGGTGATGTATGATATTTTCATGGAACGGTTAACGGAGAATATTTTACGGCGCTTCATTGTAAATGCCTGATAAAGAAATGAACGTGACTAGCAGCGAGCACCACAACATGTTAAATTACTTTGAAATGAACATTAACAGAAGCTGTGAGCCTTTTAGATCATTTCTTTTGTTTATTAAGTCAAAAGGAAGCAGAGGTGCGTGACGGAGCACCCAGACGGCTCCTGTCTGTACACTCTTACAGTCATTCACTTGTCAGAGTTCATCAATATCGGATCAGCAAATGTACTTGGTACGATAACAGACTCATTTTGAACTCCTCTTAAAACCTGAATACATTGAAGTAGAGGACTTTATGATATACATACTGTAAATAGTGACGAGCTGACGCTAAGTCGCGCCTCGCCGTGTCTTTCATCTTAGGCCGACGGCCCCTTTATGTAACTGGACCTCTGATCTGAAGCTGCATAAGCAAACGTTCAACGTTCTCATCCCCCAAAAAAGTGAAGAAGCCAGGATGAAAAGGGTGAAAAAGGTGAAAAGCAAAGCTTTCAGGGGGCCTGTAACAATCTGTGTGCATGCATTCGCCACAATGTAACAGCTCACTAGCATTCCCTTCAAAGCGAGGGAATACGTTGCTCCTTCAGTCTGACAAATGCTTTGCTGATGATGAGGAAGTATTTGAATTCATCAAACGTTCTGGAGCTGGTCCCTGCTGACTTAACTAAGTATACATGTGTTTAATCTCATAAAGCATACACACCTTTACAAAAGCATGTAAAATATTCTGACTTATTTCTTCAACTATACTCCTCGGTAAAAAACGAGATAAAAAGCAAACAAAAAAGAGAGCGCAAGTCTCAGAGCGGCAAAGCAAGAGAAAGTGCACGCTCTCGTATTCAAACTAAACACTCCTTTTCACATTAAAAAGGAAGGTTAACTATAACAAGAAGGTAGTAAAATTGTACCAAACGGAGCTGAATAAGATCCGTACGAGAACCTAGCAGTCTGCATCATCTTTGTGGTTACCTCACGCGCTAGCTTAATGCAGTCTCATGGGAATGATGATTCGACAGCACTTGGACCAAGTTAAGAGACACAGGGCTATCCACACTGCTTCTGCCTTCAGCATTGCTGAAAAACATTAGCAGCTCCCGTATCGGCTTATCATTGTACTCAAAGAGGAAAACTGCTATCAAGAGACAAAAGGACATACGAGGAATCAGGGGACGCATGCAGCCGCTGTATGACTGATCCAAGTCGACATCCTCTGGTGCGTCTCTATAAAAGCATTTACTGAGGCGCAGCCCCGTGGCCCGCCGAAACCTCATCAAAGAGTGGCTTATTTTATCAGTCAAGTGGAAAATGTGCTGAGAAAGAGAGGGAGCGGCAATAGTGAGGAAGTCAGCGAGAGTAACTAGCTATTGTGCCCATCGCTGACCCAAACACCCCCGTTACAGTAGCCGTGGCTGCTCACAACAAAAGCCCTAATCGGTGGAGCAGGGCTCAAAATTAAATGACCCTGTGGTTGTAACACTGAAACTGACAAGCCTCCCTGCGCATGCTGAGGCCAAAGGCAAAAGGAGATATAGCTAATGAACTGAAATGGATTGGAACACAGGCGTTTTTTTACAAGCAGAGGCAGTCTTGAGTAGCCTTTACACTCCTGTGGGAAGAACTGAAACACACTGTTGGTGCTTATTCGACTACAGCTACATGATGATACACACTATTGAAGAGAGATATAAGCAGGTTACATAGAGATCACATTGCCCCCCCTCGGGCAGACTCGACGTGTACCAGCTTAAAATGACTTTCAATAAACTACTTTATTTTGTACGCTGTGAGGAAGAGTCTGCATCTGTTTTAAGGTTCCACCATGAAAAGGTGAAAGCAAAAGGAGAATAATACATGACTGCGTCAGAAAGTCAAATACAAACAAGCCCTGTGTTCATGTAACACAACAAACTGTCATCCAGGGTCTGCTCATCTGGAGGGGAGGGGCATCTTACCAAGTCAATGGGCAGCATTTATAATGCATGGACAGCATCCCTACCCCCAAGGGTCACATTAAATTCAGGGAAGCAGATAACAATTGACTGAGGTTGCTGGCTGCTGCAGGGCTATGATGTATACTTGCGTGTCTGCCGTCTCATTCTTTAGTCTCACTCTAATTATCTGGCTTTTCATTTTCCTGTACCCACTTGTCTCATGTTGTGGATTATTTTTGTCACATCTTCCCCTCATATTTCTACGTCCTCTCCCACCATCTCATTTCCCCCCCAGTCTTCATTTCTCCCCCCGCACTCTGTTGATGGCATATCAATAAGAAGAGGTGGTGAGGGACATACGGCGGCCCTAACCCCGAAGGCTTCCTCATACACGGGCCCTAATTGGCCCTAATTGCAAAGGGCTGTAGGTTACTATGTTGTGTGCACATGGGTATTCTACGTCCACTACGTCTGTGAAAACCTACAAAAGATAGAGGTGATGAACAGACAGCCTCAAGCATCGCGTGGTTCACAACGCCTCCGTTTGGAATATGTATTCATTGGTGTATACGAGCGTGTGCGTTTGAATATTTATGCAAATATGTTTTTGCCACCCTCTGGCCCCAAGACTGCCTCTCAAGCCAAAACGATCATGTGATCGCAACAGGAAATCCCGACTCGGAACAGATTCTTAAAAAAAAAAAGACGAAGATTCATGTGTGTGGGGCATAAACATACTGTACATTAAATGTTAAGTCAAAAACGAGCTGTCAAAATGTCACACAGAAGTGCCCTCCTTTGCAGGGAGCGGTTTGCGTTAACTGGGGAATATCATTATGATAATCACGCATGTCTTTATTTGGAATACATACATATTCCCAGCACGCTGACCAACCTTGCAGCAAAACATGAAAGTCAATAGAGGGGGAAATTGTATGGGTGACACTAGAGG